GGCCTCACAGAAAGCCGACGTGAAACAACGCTTCGTTGTGTTTCGTCGTTCAGGTTACCAGAGGCCTAATTACCCCATCTCCCAGTCTCCTCAATCCCTGAATACCCAATTCTTAAATTCCTAACCTCGAAAAGGCCGGTAACGCACTCGTAACGGCTCTGGTGTTCCGAGTATCCATAGGCGACGCCGATTGCTTACCACCAGGTGATCCGTCGGCTCGTTTACCGCCTATACCCAAAAAAAGAAAAGTGTCTATTTCAGTGAAGATTTGTGATGAAAACAGAAGCATAAAAGAGTGGGCACCAGATGTTTATTCACGTTTATTTAGTGGAATTTTGTTTAGTGCGGGACGAAGGGTTATTGTTAATACTACTCTAATAGATTGGGCGAGTAGCTAGCTACAGACTAATATTCACTAATTTTAGTTGGTACCTATGACATCTTTTACTATTTTTCCTGCACATTTTCATTAATAAAGGCAAAGTAATTAAAAAAAAATATATTAAAAAAAATGTAAATTCGTTTTTTGAATTATCAGGCATTTGACACATTGGTCCTAAATAAAGGATAATAAGTATAGAATTGGTATCGAATGGAGCTCTTTGACTAAGTTATTAGTTTTCAGAACTATTCCACAATATTGACAGATGTTCATCTACTATGTGCATAAATATCATGCACAAATTAATGGTAATGAGACCGCTGCTTCGTTGGCCGAGTGATCGCAAGTGCGACTGCCGTGCAAGGGGCCTCGGGTTCAATTCCCGGGTCGGGCAAAGCACTACTGGGTTTTTAAAAAAATATCTGTGGTAGCACGGAGCATAGAATTGTGCCCGGTATATGGCAATGGCAATAGGCTTACCCCCATTACATGGCTCTTATAACATAAATAGTGAAAAGTGGGTGTTACATTGTACAAGTCGCATGAAGTGGCGTAATGTGCTCCTCTGCCTTCATGGACAAAAGGCGTGATGTTAAGTGTATGAGTCCGCTATCTGTAGATCTTTGGATCACTGACCTAATTTTATTACAATTACTAATCTCATATTTAAGCAGATTAATGATGACAGATGTGGATTAGTCCAAGGTGTACACTGCCATGTTTATTTTAATCTGTATTTAATGTTTTAGTGAAGTAACTATTATTAATATAATATTATCTACGTTTAGGTAGTACTCAAGGACGTTTGTACCAAAAGATGAAAAGTACTTTGTATAAATAGTTAATGTTCAGTTTTTTTATTGCATATGCCGTAAACGAGCAGACGTATCACCTGATGGTAAGCAATCGGCGTCGCCCATGGACACCTGGAACACCAGAAGCGTTACAAGTGCGTTACCGGCCTTTTGGGGATAAGGAGTTTGAGGATTGTTTGGGATTCGGGGATTGGGGAGATTGGGGAAGGGGAGACGGAGCTGGGCCTCCGGTAACCTCACTCACACGACGAAACACAACGCAAGTGTTGCTTCACGTCGGTTTTCTGTGAGGCTGTGGTAGCCGGCCCATTCGTTCTGAAGCATGACTCTCCCACACTTATATAAATAATTGATGGATATTCTTATATTAGGAAGTAGCTGTTGCCCGAGGCTTCGCTCGCGTAGAACTTGATTCCTGTTTTATCCAATTGGAGCATTTAATCGGCATAAAATCCTATCACATAAGTCACCCTTTCCTACGATTTTGATATCAAGATGTCGGGACCACGAAATTTTGCTTATTAGTTTAAATTTATTTCACTATCTGGATATGGAATCCATTTGGTCTCGCCATTTTGACGGACACAATCGGTATAGATTAGAACTAACGGTTTTGTTGCGACCCTTTAAAACAATATTACTTTTATATTTATAAACACTAAATGTTAAGTGAAGCTTACTGAATTAAATCTTTGTAACTCGTTCTACATTGAAACTGCATTAATTTATTTTCTTGACAATAATAACATTGAACGGAGTCTAAAGTAGATCAAAATAATAATCTTATCTCGTCCCACTTCTTATTTTTGTCTACACTCAGATACAAGTAAGGATATAAAAAGACCAATTCCAATATCCGAAATCACAGTTTGCAAGTGACGAGCAACTATTGCAATCTCTAAGAATAATTATAAGTAGTACATCGTGAGGTGAGTTCTAAAACAATACAGTTTGTAAAAAACTGTATAAATAGGTATGTAGCTTGGGATAAAATCACTGTATCGTTAATTTAAACAGCTATTATAATAAATGTGATGTGCCTATATAACCATTTATTTTATCACTACATAGTATAAAACAAATTTTGCAATCCGCCGTCTGTCGGTCCTTATGTATGCTTAGATCTTAAAAACTACGCAACGGATTTTGATGCGGTTTTTTAATATCATAGTGATTCTTAAGGAAGGTTTAGCTGTATAATACATGAATATTGCGCCCATGCGAAGTTGGGGTGTGTCGCTAGTCTCTGCCACTCGGGAGCATGTTCGATGCAATATTTTGCAATCGGCCACGGTTGCTAACTTAGCAGTATAACGCGACTGCATTGAGCGCGTCGTTAACGCAGTGCATACTCGAACAGCGAACCGGGTGCATTCATACCCATTTTCACTGACCATTATTTTAGCATAGTTTCGTGAATGAAACTTTTTTATATCAAGTTCAACAAACTGCTTTATTTGGGACTCCACCCCAGCAACTACCACATTGCTCGCGAGCCAAACAACTTCATAACTGCTATAAACTTGTGTTATTGTAATAAGTTGTGATAGTAATTTAATTGAATCAAACAGATTTGTTTCTTTTAAATATTGGTTTAATCTGAAATCGTATCCGTTGTTTTATTGTTTAAAACATGTGTCATATTTCAACTTCATATAATAACAAATATATTTTTCTTTCTTCCAGAAAAATGAAGTACTTGCTGATGTTTGCATCCGTCGTTACTCTAGCAGTTGCATTACCTACCGGTGAACTAGTGGACCCTGGTGCTGGAGAACCAGCCCCGGTTTCAGAAACCATTGTAGATGACCATGCTGTTTTGAACGATGACCCTGCTAGCATTGAGCCTGCTTCCGGAGATCAACAAGAAGATATTATTTCAGCAGCACTAGCTTTACCAAAAACATCGACAGGCCGTACTGCGTCTGGAGCACCTGTTGTGCAAAACACCTTTTACATTAAATCTATTAGTACCGCCTTCAGCAACATGGCAACCGTTTTTCGGTAGGGGAAAAGGACGAGGACGGTAAGGGACATTGATGGTAAAATAATAAAAATTATATTATTTACCAACACTTGATATATGTTTTTATAATAACTATCGTGAGACATACTAAATTTACTGAAAATCATGGGTTACTCACTTGAATATACTCAAGAGGAAGAGCTCCTCTGCGGCTTGAAAATAGTAGAGCTTTTCTCAGTTTATTCACGTGAGTAACCCGCGATCTTTAGTTTGCTCTTGATTTATTTTATTAATAAACATTAAAATAATTTTTATGTTTTATTTAAATTTTCTGAGACCTCTAAAAATCTCTATTTTGCCCCGGCCTAGGGGCAGTGCAGTGTGTCCAGTACTAGGTATACCATTTCACGTTATACATATATTGAGCAACTATTTTTTTTTTTCGTAAATTCTTGCAACGGCAGTATGGATGGGTTCACTGTATATATAACTTACAAGCCATATTGAGTTGCTTTTCTTTAGATCCTTGGGCATCGATCGAGACGTCTTTGATCATAATTTGGCCTGGTTTATTTGTGATGCATATTCGTAGTTGCATTACAAGCATTTTTGTTGACACTTAGGACACACACACATTGACACGATGGACGTGTGTGGCGTGACATGGCCCGTCATTGCACTTCATATATTACGGTGTTGCAAGTACACTTGTTGTCTTTAAGTGAGCCATGCTTCGGCACGAATGGGCCGGCTCGACCGGAGTGATACCACGGCCTCACAGAAAACCGACGTGAAGCAACGCTTGCGTTGTGTTTCGTCGTGTGAGTGAGGATACCCGAGGCCTAATAACCTATTCTAATAGTAATTTTTGTTGAACACTGATTGAAGGTCTTTGAATAGGTTATTAATTATCTGAACTATTCCACAATATTGACAGATGCAAACGTACCTATGTAAATATGGGCTCGCTGCTATTGCAGCGGTAAGTCTGCTAGTAGTAGTCCGCAGTAAGACGCTACGGTGTCCATACCTACCGCCTGACGCAGGTCCTCATCGGACATGGGAGCTTCGGGAGGTACCTGTGTCTGATAGGGCGGGAGGAAACGACCGGGTGTCATCACTGCGAGGACCACCCTGAGGACACGGTGGAACATACGGTAGGGGTATGCCCTGCGTGGGCTGATTAGAGCCATTAGACCACCACGGATGGGGCCCAATAGGGCTGATGCCGATACGAAGCCGCGGAGTTCATGGTGATGAGCCCACTATCTGTATTTGAGCACTATTAAGGTAGGAAATAGTGGTACGAACAATGAATACGACGTTGTGAGGCTGCCCCTGAGATTAGCACATTCAAACAAACAAACAAATTCTTCTGCCTTATATAATAGTATATAAGATAAGTTTCTCATTGAGGAAAAACGTTTCTCCTACCTATTTTTAACTTACCTAATTTAATTTTAATTTAATCTTATTTTTTAAGCAGATTAAAGACGACGGATTATTGGATTAGTCCAAGGTATGCCATTTTTGTTTCAATCTGTATTGAATGATTCATAAAGTAACAATTAATAATAATGATTAGGTACATTTATTCACACAAGGATATTCTTATACAGATTAGGAATTGAATAAACAATAACTAGAAAATATATTTATTTTTAACATTACATCATAAGAATCAATGGAATCATATAAATTGGGTATAACATTAAAATAATAAAAATATATCCGGATCTAATATCGTATAATCAATTAAAAACATATTGCAAGTGATTGTGTAGATGATAATTCAGGTGCACAGTTCCTCTAGAAAGTCTAGAATACAATATCCGATTTAGTGTTTCTCGACGAGCTGGGGCAGTTGCGGTGCGCCGATAGCAACAGGCTCAGGGACGACCACGGGAGTGGGAAGGACGGGGCTTCCGATCTCAACGGGGGCGATCTCAACAACATTTACGGGTTCAGGAGCAACTTCGATGACCTGAACAGGCTCAGGGGCAGCCTCAATAACGTGTATCGGGCTAGGGACTACGACGGGCTCAACAGCGGGCACACTGACGGGAGCATCGATGACGTGGGAGACACCATTGATGTTCAGGACGATCTGGACTAGAGGATTAGAGGGGACAGCGGCGGCCTCCTCGACAACATGCACAGGCTCAACAGCGATGGGCTCCTCAATGATGGCGGGTCCGACGGCAACAGGTTCAGAGTCGATGATGGCGGGTCCAACAGAGATAGGGAGAGAGTCAATCACAGCGGGGCCGATGGCAATAGGCTCGAAGTCCAGTATAGCCGGGCCCACTGCGATGGGGACGAACTCGGGTGCTGGTGCCGGAGCGGGACCAGCTGGGCCAGGCTCAACCAGGCCACGGTGGGCAGGGCCGGCTATGGCCAAAGCGATGACAGAGGCGATAATGACCAAAGATTTCATTTTGCTGGAAGAGAAACAGAGTAGTAAACGTAAATACGATTCATAATAAAAAAAAAATAGAAACGGCAAACGAAACACTGTCCAGACCAAAGTAATTAGCAGATTATTTAATAGCATTGCAATATATATTGTAGTCACTAGACAGGTGGAGTTCCAGCAAATACCAAGTGTACCATTCCTATTTACCTTATTAGCTGTTATTGTCACTGAACTTAATATTATACCACAGTTATTATTATAAAATCAAATCAATAACATTCTTACCTGCTTTTGTTTGCTGGGTGTTAAAAAAACTATACTTATGTTTAATTCTTTAACCTTTTTATACAAAATATTATCTTTTGGCGGAGTTTAATTGATAATGGAAGATTATATTTTATTGTTGTTAATACTGTTATTAAGAATAAACATTTAGATGGATTACTGTATGTGATTGATCGGTGTGTCACGTGTTGCACTTGTTATATTGAGATAGTGCTAAACCCGTAGGTAATCAGTAGCGAATCTATATGCTATTCCATTTTTGTGACGGCAAAAAAAGACGATGACTCTGCTTCATTTTCGCATTAATATGGGGATCGAAGAAATGTTTTTTTACTTCTCTAAATTAATTGATTTAATGGAACAGAAATTAAATGTTGAGTAAAATAAATAATAAATTAGTATTAGCAGTACATTTTGTTGTTATGCGATCTATTTCTTAGTATAATATTTTACTCAAGTGTATTTTAGAACGGAGAACCTAACGGGTAGCCGGGGCTCCGGCTCGACGTGCAGGAGAAGGAACGGGGTGGTTTTTAGTCAGTAAGAGTCTGGCACTCCCTCCCGCCTCACCCAGGCGGGAGCAGTCATTCGATGATTTCCCCCCTTAAAAAAAAAGTGTATTTTAGAAAATTACAAACCTTATATTCTTTTATGGCTTTTCATAATGAGATTGACCTTGCCGTATAATGATTTATGTAACACCACATCAATTTATGTAGCGTTCAAAGTTTCTGACCATAATAGCCGAAATTAGACGAAATATTCGATGCACGTAATATACATTTACGAACATTGTGCGTTTAAAATATAATGTTGCTTAAAAATGGGAAAAGATACAAACAACAACCTGTATATAGATAACTTTGTTTAGTGAATAGATTGAATGGATATGAATATTATTCGTTTTGTAACTACTGAATTATCATCAACAGCCTATATGCTCACTGCTGATGGGCTCGCTGCCATTGCAGCGGTAAGTCCCCTCTTTGAGGAGTGGCTTGAGAGACGCTACGGCGTCCTCACCTACCGCCTGACGCAGGTCCTCACCGGACATGGAAGTTTCGGGAGGTACCTGTGTCTGATGGGGCGGGAGGAAACGCCCGGGTGTCATCACTGCGAGGACCACCCTGAGGACACGGTGGAACACACTGTTGCGGAATGCCCTGCGTGGGCTGAGCACCGCCGTGCCCTCAGGGAAGTGATCGGCGATGGAGACCTCTCGCGTCCGGGCCTAGTTCAGGCCATGATGCGGAGCGAGGGGGACTGGGATGCCGTCTCCTCCTTTTGCGAAGCAGTCATGCTGGCTAAGGAGGAGGCGGGACGCGTGAGGCAGCGAAGCGCTGCCTCCTCGCAACCCAGCCATCGCGAAGGACACACCGGGCGTCGGGGATCGCGGGACGATCTCCGGCCACCGTAAGCGCGGGCCTGCGGACGGCGAGCATGGGTGGCTCCCCGTCCGACCAGAAACAGACCCGAGCGTACGGCGCGTCGCGTTCCGCGTGCGCCTCAAAGAGCCATCAGACCACCACAGATGGGGCCCAATAGGGCCGATGCCGATTCGGAGTCGCGGAGAACCTAACGGGTAACCGGGGCTCCGGCTCGACGTGCAGGAGAAGGAACGGGGTGGTTTTTAGTCAGTAAGAGTCTGACACTCCCTTCCGCCTCACCCAGGCGGGAGCAGTCATTCGATGATTTTCCCCCCTTAAAAAAAAAAAAAAAAAAAAAAAAAAGCTCACTGCTGAGCGAAGCCTCTTCTCACACGGAGAAGGTTTGAGCATTAATCACCACGCTTGCTCAATGGGGGTTGGCGATTACAGACTTATAATTAGAAATTATAAGCCCAGGTTTCCTCACGACGTTTTCCTTCACCGTTTGGTGTCTAGGTATTCTTAGAAAGTACATATAATTCGGAAAAATATTGGTACTTGCCGTTGGTAGGTTTTAAACCCTCATGCATGAGAAGTGGGCGTCTTAAACCTCTGGGCCACCACGACTTACTACACTACTGAATAATGCTCTGTTATTAGATAGTATCAGACACTTATTATCCAGTTTTGACTTGACATACTTTTGACGGGACGCTGGGGTGGTTTTTAGTTAATAAGAGTCAATCAGTCCCCAAGCTAGGCAGCTCTATATGAATTTTTCACTTTGGGGTCAAAAAAGAGAATAAGCACAAGTATGGAAAAATAGGTGTGGCGCCAATATAACGCCTGGCGTGTCATTATGTGATGTATTGTTTCATATCATAATCAAAACAATAATTTATAATACTAAGCATTGCTAGAGGTACACTTACTACGTAGTTCTTGACTACGATTTCATTATATCTAATAGATATTTCTACCCTAATTCGATTACTTAACTTACGGGGCAGCCCCACATAAATATTATAAAAGGTTGACCTTTTCGTTTGTTTATCTGTATACGCAATTAGTTCATAAACCACTGGACAGATTTTCTGTAGACTTTTCACCAATGTATGTACATTTATAGTGTTTCTGCGTACGGCGCGTCGCGTTCCGCGCGCGCCTCAACGAGCCATCAGACCACCACAGATGGGGCCCAACAGGGCCGATGCCGATTCGGAGTCGCGGAGAACCTAACAGGTAACCGGGGCTCCGGCTCGACGTGCAGGAGAAGGAACGGGGTGGTTTATAGTCAGTAAGAGTCTGACACTCCCTCCCGTCTCACCCAGGCGGCAGTCATTCGATGTTTTTCCCCCCCTTTTAAGAAAAATAGTGTTTCTGAGGAAGGTTTAATCATGGTTTTGTCTTCATGATCAAAGTTGTGGGCGAGAATTTATTAATAATAGTAATTTCTTATTAGTTAAAAATATGCAGAGGCCTGTTACGCGGTTGGGTAAAAAAACATGAATACTAAATATGTAGAATGGAGGCGTAATATAGTCTGTGCAAGCTGGTGCAAGACTGTGCACGCTTCGCTCGTATGTCCATAGATTAGTGAATGCTTTAATTCATATAGATACGACAATAGGTATAAAAGTCCGTAACACCATCTCTGTTTATTCTCTGGAACTAAAAATCAAGTAACAGTACCTATTTCTTTTTACTTGGCTGCATTTTTTCACGTGAGCAATCGAATGGAATAATGTGTGCTAATTATAGTTAATTTATTTTATTAAATTTATTACCTTTTTAATTTGACCTACAATAAAAAATAAAACATTAGAACAACAAATAAAATGGCTAGTGTTAGATTTCCATGGCTAACGCTGATCACTCACTATCAAGTGGTCCATCTAGGTATTCATTTGTGCCCTAACCTATAAAACAGTCGCGGAGAACCTAACGGGTAACCGGGGCTCCGGCTCGACGTGCAGGAGAAGGAACGGGGTGGTTTTAGTCAGTAAGAGTCTGATACTCCCTCCCGCCTCACCCAGGCGGGAGCAGTCATTCGATTATTTTCTCCCCTAAAAAAATAAATAAAAAAAGACCCATAAAACACCCACGATTTTCACTAGTTTTCCTCTTCAATATATTGTGATGAAGTAGTCGATATTATCTCACATGGTTAACATGGCGTGGATGCAAGTCTACTGCGAAGACTTTTTCGGATCGTTAATCTTATTGGTCGTTCGGACAAATTGTGTTGGTTCCTGACTATTCAGTGTTTATTTTATGGAACAGGATAAAACGTTCATCGGGTGATTGCTAATATGATGACTTGAGCATGCATGGGACATCGAGTTTCATTTCTAGGATTGTGTTATTATACTTTTTTTTTTTTGATATTCTTAGCAGGTACAGTGGGTACGCTAATCAGTTAAATTTATTAATTGTATTTTAGATTTTTTGTTAATACAATAAAGTTGAAGATGTAATAGAAAAAGACAGAAAAGGATAGTTTAACCTGCCGGCTATGCATCGTATAGAGCTTCAACATTTTGAAGTCATGAAAAAGAAAATCTTTCACTATTGTAAATACAAAAAAGATTCCTGTTTGTGATTTCTTCTTGAGTAGATTTAACTGTAATAAACATACAATATTTTTTAAGGGGGGAAAACCATTGAATTACTTTACCTGCCTGGGTGAGGTAGGAGGGAGTGTCAGACTCTTACTGACTAAAAACCACCCTGTTCCTACCACTTCGAGCCGGAGCCCCGGTAACCCGTTAAGTTCTCCGCGGCAGTATATATAAGTACATTAATAATCAAAACATGATCAAAAGTGTCTTTCTTTGCATAGACAAAATCTAATAGATAAATAACACATCTGTAGCCAGCTAATCTGTGGTACGTTGCGGCAAGTCGTAGCGTGGATTAAATCGCACGCAAGCGAATGCACCGATGAGCTAATTGCTCACACAGACACATTGACAAACGTTTTGATTTATTTTACGTACTAGATTTTACTACCTAAACCTAAGTAGGTTGCCGTTCAAGTTACAGTTACGTAGACTGATTGCATAAAAGCTAAGTAATAGTCAGACCATGGACCGTGGATGGATGTTGAGACGACTTCAGGATTTGGAGAATATTGACTTATTAGTATTTGTCATACTCAAGAATTGGCTTTATCAATTACATGACATAACATCACGCCTTTTATCCCCGAGAGGTTTCGCAGAGGTGCACATTACGGCACTTAATGCCATTGTATAATATAACGCCCACTTTTCATTATTTATGTTATGAGTTCCAAGTAATAGGGGTGAGCCAATTGCCATATACCGGACATATTTCCAACCTCCGTGCTACTACTGGGATTTGAAA